CACACCTTAGGTGAGAGTCCATCCACCTAGCCCTCAGCATAGACTTCTTAATTTTTAGGAGCACACCATAAGTGAGAGTACATCCACCTAATTCTCAGCACAAGCTTCCTAGATCTTATGAGCACACCCTAGGTGAGCGTTCATTCACCTAATTTTCAAATGAATAATGAAACACATCACTAGAGCCTGATTCACGAACTGATCTTGACACTAGACACCAGGATGCACCGAGACGTGACTCATGCTTCCTTAATTAAATCAACAGTGAAATTCCCTCAATGACTTAACCTACAATAAAACCCAGTGCACCGGGATTTGAGCTTGAATATTACACTCAAATCCTCCTGGCAATTGGGGAAATTTCTTAACGCTACATATGGACCATCGGACTAGGATAAGTCTAGGGTCTAGGTGGCGAGGGCGATGACGACATTGCTTATGTGTGCTTAAACAAGAAATACGTGGTTAGATTATTAGAATAATATCTCTTGCCTCAAGGATCTTCAATAAGGGAGAGGAAGGATCTATGATACTATTCGCCGATTCTTGGTGGGATCGTTGCCTCCGACACTCTTAGGTTGTCAGTAGTTTTAGCACGATTAGAGTGACTAATTTGTGGACTATACTACTTTATAAAATATTTACAAAAATAAAATAAAAATCTCTTTTGCATGATAAAAATAACTCCTTATAAAAAAAAGATTTAAATAATAACTTTTGCATGAAAATCTTTCTCTGAAAATTTATAAAGGTCCACGGCTAGTCACTTGGATTGAGGTTAAGAACTACCTCCTGTAGATTGTCGAGTTGGTAACTCTTACTCAAGATCGGGAAGCACACAACCCAGCTCTGAGCCCCCACTTTTACCAATGTCTTATACCCAGTACTGATCTTTCATATCTGGTTATATGTTTCTTTTGCTTATGATTTTTACTACCCGTTTTTATAACTTTCATGCTGAGTTTTCTTGCTTTATTTAATTTTCTTGTAAGTTTATTAAGATCTGCTGCAAATCATGCTATGCTCGCAACATTAATAATGCAACAGTACCAGATGCCCAGGTACATATGCCCAGGTACACTTTTATAGTTTGTCCACAGCATTTTACCTTACGGTATCTTACCTTTCAAGTACTTTTTTCTATTTACCTGCAATCTACTCATTCTGCATGCAAAACCGAACTTTGAAACCAAAACTGTGAAACATAAGTCACCAATCTCAAACACTTAAACCCGGAGCCGTCGCGACGACAGGAGCTTGGAGCCAACTTCGTGGGCAGCATGACGAGGAGTTTGGAACGAGCAATAAGAGGATCTTCTTCAACATTATCCCTTCCTAGCATAATAACAACTCATAGGACTTCGAGGTAGCTCGCCTAGCGTGGCGTAAATCCCCATACTCCCTTTTTAGGCTCTTGTACAACTATGTGGTGCGACATGAGTCCTAACTCGATTTAGGTTCCGAGGTTATCGTACGGTACGATGTAAACTCTCATTTCTCTGTGGGCTATTTGTATAATCGGGCATTATGCAAGTTTAAGTCCCAAATAATAAAACTGGCAAGATCAAACACTTAATTAACGTTGTCTCCAAAAATGTAGCCACACCGTAGGATAGTTTGGGAAGTCATCGAGATTTACCTCGGATCAGTGACATCCCCTACCTTCTCCTTCCTTTGGACTCCTGAAAATAAGTGTTCCGCATTGAGTCATTTTCACTTGATTTTCCTCATCCTACCTTGAAAACCTGAACCTTGAATTCTTGAAGACTAGAACCACTGATCATTATCGAGAGTTTTCTCATGTGACTTTAATCATTTGAGTTGTAATTAACTATAGGGGCTTGCCTTTATAGGGAACTTGGAACCCAAGTAAAATAAACCCTATTTAATCTTTGTATTAAATAGGGGAACTTGTCGGTCATACATAAAAAAGGTTCGCAGACCAAACAGATGTCACAAATCTCTTAGTTTGCAGGATTGGGTCTATCGCTGAGGTCTACACTTATCTTTCGGGAGGGTGTAGTATTCGCGGTATCAGACACGATTATGCAAACTATTGGACGAATGAGATCCATTTGGTCTCATTTTTCAAAAATTAAAACATACTACTTTCAAAACCCAAACTATATATCTTTTATACTTAAATTAAATCTCAAAAATTATTTTCATATACCATATTTTCATAATTAATCAATCGAAAAAAAGTTGACCGACATGCGCCTCACTAAACTTGTTCATCTCTTCCTTCTCACACGTGAAGTCCCCACAAAACTACCTCCCTACCTTTTTTGACGCATAGAGTTTTGCTTTGTTCCATTGCTTGCAGCCCTGGAATCGTCGATCTTCATCTAATCGAACACCTCACTTGTTCGATACGAGTGCAAGCACTGTTGAGCCTTTTGTCTTCATCTCCGTATTCATTTCCACGTACTAGAAATTGTCAGCTTTCTTCCTCTTTCCCACGTTGCAACTCGTCGATGCAGGTATTCAGACCCAACCTGGATTGTTGGTTTGTCATGCCATGCAGGTCTCTCTGTTGCAAGTGTATGAGGCCCATCTTCTCCCCATCGTCAGTATCGCATGTGTCGGGATAACCCTGGCCTTCGACCTTTGCCTCTTCTTTCTCATCACTCTTTGCTCTCTTTCAATCTCCTTCTCATCATTTTATTCGAATGAGGCGTTTGACACTTAAATACAAAATTTTTGTGATGGTTATCTTTTCATGAACTGAGATAATTCTTTAATATTTGTTTCTAATTTGTTTATTTTGTTATTATTATGATTATTATTTTTTTTTCGGTTATTACATGTAGGGAGTGAGGGAGGTTTGTGGAAAAGTTCTACCTGACACATGTGCATAAAACAAACTAACATTATTTTTTATTTTCTAATTAATCCATTATCATTTTTAATAAATAGTTTATATTTTTATTTATAATTAGTTACTAAAAATTTACCATTCATACATTATAACAAAAATGGACAAAATCAAAACCATGGTGATTGTAATCATAACTTTAGTTTATCTCTAAATAGTATTACTGTCTAATCAGTATAATTTTTATAAAATTAGCTCAACTAGGCTAATTAATGCAACAATTACCTAAGATTGTTTCCAAAACACATGTAAGCACTTTTTATAGGCATTTGTACCATTTTAGAGTCAATCATTTTGTTTCCAGAAACAAAAAATAAAACTATGGTAGCCAAATTTATTTCTTTGACCATCATCTGCTTTTATAATGAAAGACAACTTAAAAAAAAATGAAGAGGTCCTAAAATGATGTGCAAATTTACTTTTGTAGGCTTTTATGAAATGGGAACATGAGGATAAAAATATGGAGCACTTTATTATGATATTTGTAAGTAGCTATTGAAATTGTTGGTATATAGATTCTTTAATTTTGTTAACTAGTTAGAGGAGGTATTTAAGTTTTGTAAAAGCAAATTAGTTTAGCTCAGGTGAAAGGATTAAGTGTTTGGTAAAAGTTTGCACGGGTTTAATTTTTTTTGAGATTATGTTAGCTCTTATATTGACTATATTAACTCAAATAGATGAGTTTTTTGAGCTTTTAATGACAGAGACATATTTTGTTTTATCGTTGACGTAGTTCTGATTTGTTGCATTTGCCCGATTTATAATGATTCCAGGTCAAATGGTATTGCAGTCCAGATTGTACACAGATATCAATTTGCATCTCATTTAAAAAGAATGGCTGTTGTGGTCCGCATTCAGGAAGAATTCTTTGCTTTTGTTAAGGTTGATATTCTTGAACAGAACTTATATTCTTACGAACATACTTTTTTTCTCCGTCTATTTTGTTGTTCAAAGTTGAAAAAAGATAAATCAACTATTATTGTTATGAAATATATTATAGCTACAGCTTCTGCATCTTGGATTTAGTTTTCCTTGTTACAGATAGCTCTATAAATTACAGGGCGCCCCAGAAACTATCCAAGACCGGCTGATTAATTTGCCATCACAATATGTGGAGACTTATAAGAAGTACACTCGGCAAGGATCCCGTGTTCTGGCTCTTGCATACAAATCACTTCCTGAAATGGCTGTAAGATTTTATGCAATCTATGTTTGATAACTTGGTTGTTTCGAGAAACATTAGCATGTGATTTATGTATGACTACTGTATTCAAATTTATTATTTTTCTTGTGTAGCTTACCGTTACAAATCATAATAGACACAAATTTGACGCATTATTTATTCCACTTAACAACATTTTAATAGTTCACTAAATCTGACCATGCTTTACCATGGCAATTTGCTGACCATGTTTGACAAGAAAGGTGATGGAGACAACTCCTTGGTTTTGCCATATAATTAATGTATGCTGGAAATTGATTAAACTTAATGGAAACTAGACTACATTGTCCACTTTCTACTCCTAATTTGGAGTTATTCGCATCCATTTGAAATCGTAGGACATCAAGTTCTTTAAATTGTCTGCAATTGTGTTTCTTAAGTACTTAATGTAGCTTTGGTTGTGCCACCATGTGACTCGAGAACTAGGAGTTAACCAAGGCGGGAATAGACGGTTCGACATTAAAAAGAAACTTTCTAAGCAATAATATTAGCCTACAATAACATTCAACTTAAAAAGACTTACTAATTATTTCCAAAAAAAAAAAAAAAACCAATCCAAAAGACTTACTAATTATTTCCACCAAAAAAAAAAAAAAACCAATCCACAATATATAGTAAACATCCTCTAACAGAATACATACAAAGATCTAGATTGATGCAATAAGATAAGTAATGCAAATAATGTGTGACAAAATATATATCTAAAACAAACTACGATCTATTTTCAACAGTTCCTCTCCTGCTGTAAACAAGTTATCTTCTATCAGTCATATTTGTCTTGTAGAGATTTTCTTGAAATAGTTAAAATAACAGATTAAATTAAAGGGATATTTACCTAGGTGCCACCTAATTTCTATGTATTCACATATCGGACACCATCTACAGGCCACCCTCCCTATGGTCAAAAGATGGGGATGGGGTGGCCTGTACGTAAAAATTGAAGTTTAGATGTTCGATATGTGAATACATAGGAATTGGGTGGCATGTAGGTAAAGAACCCTAAATTTAAATAATTTAGTAAATAATTATCACTTTATGATGCATTAAATTATTATGCAATTGTTAAACATGAATGCTCAAAAGATTATATTAATCAATCTATAAAGTAAACTTTCCTTTACTAATTTATCTCAATCAATTACTATTTCATCATTTTTAATCAATTATATTTTCCTTTTCCTTTTTTTTAAGAAGTCATCTTAGAAGCACCCTCAAAATGTATAAATAAAAGTATCATTTTTTTCATTTCGTATCATAAACGTACAATCTTTATAACTTTAATTAGTATTTTGAATCATAAAGCTATAACCTTACCATTTTGTATCCTAAATGTATTACCTTTATCATTTATTTATTTTTAACATGTTCTAGTATAGTAGCGCTCTCATTTAGTACCATAAGGTAATACTTTTGATAGACTCAACATTAAAATTTTTATTTATAATTATTTAATTCATTTTAATCATTAAACTCATTTATTTTTTATTTAATACATAACAGTAACAAAAGAATTAAAATTATAAAACACTCATTTCTTTTTTATCTATTTTTTTAATTGTAAAGGTGTTTCTAATGTGTAAGAACAAATGAAACATTTAAAAAATTAAATAAACTAAATTTAACGCAAATAAAATAGTAATTACTCACCTTGCTTATACTTGATAATTCTGATCACCTTGAACCATTAGTTTCTTTCCTTATTTAATGATTATAAATAAGAATCATAATATTTTATCACATAATATAATTTTCTTTATATTTAATTTATTATATCATGCTTAAAGTCTAATAATTAAGCATACGCTGTATCTTAAATTAATTGTTCCATTTAAAATTTTAAAATTATTTATTATAAACTTTTCTGAATTAACAACATATCTCAGATAAATTTATTTGTTTGTTTTGTCATTGAGCATCTCTCCCAATTATATTGATCTCCTCTGATCAAAATCTTTAATAGCTAACATTAAGCCATATAACAATAATTAATATTTCTCAACTAAATATGTAAAATCCCAAATTGAAAATTAACCTTAAACTTACATCACTTGTCCCTTCCTCTATTGCACAATTGTTGATCCCGATCTCACTCAGTCTTTTATTTTTATTGCTCGATCAATTATAGTCACTAGTATTGATTGATAAAACCTAAAATTAATTTAATAATATTCACTTAAATACATAGTTAAAGCATACAAACCATCATCCATCCCTCGAAGGCTTGGCTCTACTTCCTGCCCCCACATGCGGGTTTAGCCCCTTCTCCCGAACACAAGGCCGCTTGATTTTTCTTCCCTTCAGCCTCGACAAGCTCAGAACTTCTTCCTCTCGCATGCACGACAATCTCATGCTTGACGCGCTCGATTGCCCTTCCATGCACTATGCTCTTCGACAACTTCACGCGAGGCTGTTTGCTCTCTGCCCATGATTTGGCCCTTTCTCTTCTTCTTCTTCGTGCTCAAATCGCACAATCGGCGACTTCTCTAGTGCCAACTTTGACACACCAATAACTACGCATACCTCCACCACATATAGAGGCACGGACTTCATGCCTTAGACACATGTGAGCACCCAGGATATGAGGCCTCGTTTTTCTTATTTTTCTTCATTCACCTTCGCCTCTATGTCCCACTCTCGACTTCTTTTATCTCATGAATCGAATGAGACACTCCTTTCAATTATGAATTTTAATTTTATTTATTTTATAGTTATTACAGATTGAGTTGGCTTATGTTGACATCGAATAAGTGCATGGTAATAATTAATTTCGTAAATGTGCAAAGAAAATGAAAATGTATCATAAGAGCAACATATCCCACAAATTTCTAGCAAATTCATGTTATGAAAAATAAGTTGCTTGGCTGCAAATAAAGGTATTTTAAATCTAATGCTTGCGTTCGGGCTTTGTTTTGATTTACTGCTAACCCTGCTCGTTGATATAAGGGTAGAGTTCATGTATTATACTTTGCTTTATGTTGTATATTCGTTGCCTCTCATTTCTGTAATTTGTGCCTTACCTTTAATTAATAAAGCATTTGTGATAGGTTTCTATCCTTTTATTTATAAAGCTTTCAAATTAACTATTTATATAAATAATGGTTATTTGGTAATGTTGTAAGTGGCTGGGGAGGCAACAGTTGAAAATAGTATGGTGGCTTTTGGCTTATGTAAAATAGAAAAGATGGACTGTAGGTTGTAGCCATGTATTCCTATTGAACGAATGGGCGACATAGTGGAATAAAATTTATAAAGCTTTTTTTTTGTTTGGGTCAATGATATATGATGCAAGAGCTTTCGGTGTGATCACGAGACTTCGCCCGAATCATGGATTCGTTCTCGTGAACACGAGATTCCGCAAGATCATGGGAAATCTTTTGATCGTGGGAATTCCTGTTGATTTCTGATTATAGTTTTTTTTTTCCTTTTTTTTCTGATTTCTTTTGTATTTATTTGTTTTTTAATTAGGGTGTTTAGGAGAATATTTCTATGTTTCTTTTGTTGTTTTAGAGATTATTCTTTTTTTTTGAGTATAATGTAGATTGTAATCTTTGATTTCTTTTTTTCAGTGTTATATCCTTTTCCTTTTGCATGTGGTGTGTTTGTGTCTTGTGCAGGAACATGTGGTGAATCTATTGTCACTCGTACATTATCATTTTGGTGCTCTTTTCGTTGTTTTCAGTTTGGCACAACCAACGAATAATGCTTATCTTTGTCCAAATGCAGTTGAACTCGCATATTATCATTTTCATATCATTCCACGGCACATTCCCGCTAAGACCTCTTCCTAAACATTTTCAAAGTCCTATAGAATGTTATCATTTCGTATCAAAGCCGGCAAGCCATAGATTTTTTAGGGTTGTCTTTCTTATTCCAAATGTAAAATAAATAAAAAAATTATCCTCACAATACTAAAATCATTTCTACTGTAATTTCTAACCCCAACCCTAAATTTTCAAAGTCCAACTTTCATACCTTCACCAAAATCTTACCCCGACAATTACCCTCCAAAATTTAAGTCCCCGATTAACATTATTTTTACAATCCTATATCCTCCAAAATTTTTGGTCAGCAGAAAATGACATAATGTTGTTTAGGAGAAATCTGCAAAGTGTGTTCAAGAGCTTATTATGGAGGAAATGCAGTGTGAAATATTTCAATTGCAACAAATACATGCCGCCTTTAAGAGGAGACAACTTAGAGAGAAACATTCCTTAGACTAAATGGATTGTCCTTTCAACAAAATACTCCAATAGGTGTTCTAAATGTTGTGTGCTTCTCCTCCTCGGAAGCCTTAATCTCATTGTAATTTGAAAAACCATCCATAAATGAAAAGATAGCATTTGAAGAACAATGTCTACCATCAATTTGGGTTTGGGCAACAAAAATTCTTCTTTGGAACATCCTTTATTCAAGTCTATGAAATCTATACATATGCAAATTTGTCCATTCTTTTTCTTTACTGGCGCAACACTGACCAACCATGTAGGATACTTTTCTTCTCTTATAAAATTGGCGTTGATCAATTTCTTGACTTTAGAGATTCGCCAGATCGAGGGGAAGAAACAAATCCCTTCCACCAGACAGTTTCTAGTGACGAAAAACCAATACATCAAAGATTTGACATCAAATATCAGAGGAAAAGTCAGGATTTTGGAGTAAAGATTGACTTGCTAGATTTTTATGGTCATATGGATCCTGACGAGTTCATCAAGTGGTCCGGACAGTGAAATGTGCCTGAGTATAAATACGTTTGTGATAGAAGGATGAGGCTAGCTTCCATAAAATTAAAGAAAAATGCATCTTTATGGTGGAAAAAATTCCAACGCATATGCAAATGTAAGGGAAAAGCGAAATCACTACTTGGTTCAAGATGAAACGAGATATGTAGCATAATTACCTATCAGTTCATTATAGACATGACATATTCTTAAGACTTCATTACTTGTAGCAGCAAAATCTCTCAGTAGAGGAGTACATATCTAAGTTTGGTCAGCTTTTGTTGAAGTGTGAGCTAGTATAGTTCGAGGAGAATACCATAGCTCGATATCTAGGGATTGAAATAATCTGTTGACAATGTGGCATAATTACAACTTTATAGGATGTTCAAACCCTTGCTTTGAAGGTCGAGAGACAAGAAAGCAATATCAGGTCCACACCACCTTTCAAACAAGGTTCAATCATTGGATCAGGCAATAAGAGTACGCTCAACGGAGCACCCAAGTCAACCTCGTCAGAGGAGAAACCCGTAAAGTGTGGAGAAAAGGTAGAGTCTGCCAACACTTCCATCTATTTTTCAGCCAATAAATACTTTAAGTGCAACATTTTTGGGTACATTACATTAAAATGCTCAAGTACGAGCATGACATCTTTCAGTGAACAGGTGGGCAATGGAAAGCGTAAACATTTACGCAAAAGACATTGAAGAAGGTAAGGAGACAAATGAGTATTATCTTCCAGTTGATGAGGGAAAGATACTAGTAATTTGATGAGTTCTTTAGACTGAGCTTGTGAGTGAAGCACCAATAGGATTATTATTGGTTGACTTAGATGACAGTGAGTTCGAGCTTCTATTGAGGGAGTTGTTGAGTGTCCTGAGTGACAATTTATCACCTAGGTGGCTGCCACTGAGAGGGGTCTAACATGTCATGTATTTTATCTCAGGATCATTTCTTACAGACAAACTTGTTAATTAAATATGCTCAATGGAGTACGAGGAGAGAGAGAATCATGTTATAGTTTTATGGACTTAGACTTGGGGCCTGTTTGGGGCAGCTTATAACTGCGGGCGACATTTTAAAAACAACGCCTTTCTGTTTGTTTCTAGTGTTCGTGGTGCGTATCCTAATAATCCGATCGAAGGTTTCTTATAAATTCGGTCGCGGGCTCGACCTCGTGGCCCGCGTTACTTCACAGGACGATTACCCCGCTGCCCCTCTCGACCCCTTATCCATCTGCCGCCTCTTCAGCTGAGTTCTTGGATTTGAGGAAGTTGCAAAGAATCCAATGACGACATCGAGGTTTAGTTCACTGGCAATGGTGACAGCTTTGGCGTCGTCCCTTAAGACTTATTTGCCGGCCTCGCCGTCAACGAGAAGTCGTTGCTTTCCCATCGCATTGGTGTCTCTCTTTTCCAATGCACCTCACCTCAAAGATGTGTAAGGGAACTCTACTCAAGCTCTTGCACAATGAACTGAACGAGGCGACGCTCTGCGAGCTCTACTCGTCATCTCGATTCGCGTTTCCACCCTATTTTTCCCCCGTAAATTTCCGTTGAGTTTTTAATTAGGTTGCAGAATTTTGGACAGGTGACATTGATCTGCGTAAAGATTTGTTTTCTATTTAAAATGATTAGTTGAATGAAACTATATTATCTTTTGGGCGATTATTTGGAACAGCGTAAGGCAATCCTTTTTTTGAATTGAAAGGGAAAGTATGTCCATGATCTCCTAGCCATCTAGATTTGAGAGCGAGGTCCCTTTTTGCTATCTAATTGATGTTGTTTTGCTTGGTTTAGTTCGCTTAGGTTGAAGTAGTTGTATAAGTAGTTTAGTTAGCAGGATTATAAGCAATTGAGGTGAATTCATGTAGAGTGACATAAATAGTTATGAGGACTTTTCTGTTTGATATGATTAATTGGATGAAACTTTTTTTGTTTGGGTTAGTTGTGTTGATCGCTGACGCAAATTAGATGATTACTTTTAATTGTAATTTTAATAAATTTTTTCTTTTTTTTTAGGAATCTTGATGCTCACTCTTAAGTGAGATGTATATTCTTTTCTTGTACTTTTATAAAATAGTTTTTTGCTTCTAAACTATCAAATATATGGCTATGATAGATCTGTTGCAAACAACACAACTGCATAATAACACAACTGCATAGGGGTAGAATGGTCATTTATCCAGAAGCGGCTGCAAATCAGCTGTTTTTCCAAACGCACAATACAAATAACCAGTCAGTTTATCCAGATCAGCTGCTGATGAGCAACTTATCTGGATCAACTGCTTATCAACATATTATTAATAAGCCGCAGCTGCCCCAAACAGACCCTTAGTTCCTGAGGATACTGGTCTATGTGCAGTTTCAGTTCCGGTTGTGCAATAAAGTATGGTTATTTATTCTATCAAGATAGCTTTTGGAAGGTCATGCGTGTTTAAGAGTTATCTTGAGTAGACGTAAGCATAGACTTTGTAGTGGAACTCCCTCAGCTACAACAGTACAATGACTTTGTTATAGTGGTAGATCGATTCCGGAACCTTCCAGAGAAGAAACCTCTCCAACCTAGGGAGAATTTTGCTGGAGCTTTCCATGGGTTTGTGAGCTTCCTTCCGAATTGCTAAATCAATCCTGTGATAGCGGGATTCTACAGGATCGTTGGAAATTTTGCCGATTTCTGATTATAGCCTTTTTTCCTGTTTAATTTTCTTTCATATTTATCTAGTTAGGGTGTCTCTTTTAGGAGATTATTTGTGTTTTTGTTGCCTTTTTGGGATTTTTTCTTTGTTTTGAGTATTATGGAGATTTTAATCTCTGATTTTCTGCTTTAGGAGTGCTGTGTGGTCTATCTGGATCAGGTCATGCGTGTTTAAGAGTTATCTTGAGTAGACGTAAGCATAGACTTTGTAGTGGAACTCCCTCAGCTACAACAGTACAATGACTTTTTTATAGTGGTAGATCGATTCTGGAACCTTCCAGAGAAGAAACCTCTCCAACCTTGGGAGAATGTTGCTGGAGCTTTCCATGGGTTCGCGAGCTTCCTTCCGAATTGCTAAATCAATCCTGTGATAGCGGGATTCTACAGGATCGTTGGAAATTTTGCCGATTTCTGATTATAGCCTTTTTTCCTGTTTAATTTTCTTTCATATTTATCTAGTTAGGGTGTCTCTTTTAGGAGATTATTTGTGTTTTTGTTGCCTTTTTGGGATTTTTTCTTTGTTTTGAGTATTATGGAGATTTTAATCTCTGATTTTCTGCTTTAGGAGTGCTGTGTGGTCTATCTGGATCTTGTTCATGACCAGGCGGTGAACCTTCTCGCCTCATGTACATCATCATTTCAGAGTTCTTTTTGCTGATTTCTGCTGGGACAGCTGCCAAAAGTTGCCAATCCTAGTTCAAATGCCGTCAAAATCGCATATTATCATTCCCTTGCCATTCCACTCACTAAATCCCCTTCCTAAACACTTTTTAGGAGGCCGAGAACGCTATCAATAAATTTTGAGGGCATTGCATGATTTATGATCATGTTATCCTTCTGATTGACAAAGCCAAGGAATAGCAGTTTGACTGACTATTTTGAACACGGAAGTTAAAATGGCACTGGAACGACACAAGATATATAGAATGATGCATTTCGTCTTGTTCTTTAAGCTCTTCCACATTCAAAGGCCATTGATTGCTTAGTAGAAGTTCTCAATAGTTGTAATGCAATAAACCTAATTTTTATGTAAGATTTACATACAGAACAGTCAATTCCTTTGTATTTACTCATCTAACACCTCAACTTCAATTTTACATACATACCATCTTCCCTATGCATGGAAACATTTTTTTCATTTTTAAAAAGTTAAAATAGTGGTATTTTTGAAGAAACATGAAAGTTTTGAGTGGAATAAATGTAAACAAGAAAGTTTAGGTGTTTGATATGTAAATGCATAAGAATTGTGTGGCATGTATGTGGATGCACCTTTTATTATTTTGATCCCTCTTTTAGGATGAAGAATCATCGTCTTATGTGTCTTACGTTACTAAAACCGTGATACAATGCCTAAGATCTTCCAGCACCATCATGAAGGTTTGGCCCTTCATTGTTAGTTCAATATGGCTGCCCCCCACTTTTAACTTTTATCACTCTGTCAACTTTTGTTGATTTAGGGACTTCAACTTTCTTGTGGAAACACGTTTTTATGGTGAAATTGTTTGACAGTGAATGTGCTAATATAAAATAAATGCTAGAAGGAATGTTTTTAGATGACCGAGTTTAAATTGATGCCAAGCCATTTTCAGTTGGGATCTCTAACCTGCAGCATTGTAGAAAATTACAAGATCCTTAATCTTTAGTCTTTATCATGTCCAATTAATTTTTGAGAACTTTTGCTCGACTACAATTAAATTGGCATTATTTTTTGAAAGTGGTACTTTTTTCTAACAATATGTTAACATGGATTTTGACATGCTGGCAGTTTGGTGTTTCACATAGGCGAATTTTTCTTACCTGCAACACTTTTTTGTCAAATTATTTACTTTTTGGGAAATTTACATGCATACCACACAATTCTACCACACAATTCTTATGCACCACACAATTCTTATGCTTACATATCTAACACCAAAAGTTTGATATTTACACTTATAACATCTTGCTGTCATAAACCTCTCTATGAAATGGTGTATTTCTCTTTTACAAGGAAATGATGGTGGTATTTTTTATGTGATTTAAAGATTTATGTTGTATATATGTAGATAGGAATGTTTAGGTGTTGGATATGTAAATACATTAGAATTGTGTTGTATGTATGTAAATGCCCCCAAAAGCTTGTGTCCTTTAGATTTCGAGGACTCATTGGAAATTTTGACATATCCACATTGTTTTTATTTGACATGGTTCTCACTATAAACTATGCAAACTGTGATTGTTGATGTACATTCAAGTGTCTATTCTGTCTCATATCATCACATGAATCTGACAGGTCAGTGAAGCACGAGGCTTGGAAAGAGATGTTGTGGAAAGTGGGCTGACCTTTGCTGGGCTTGCAGTAAGTAAACAAATACAGCTTATTAGCCGTAGATGGGTGGTGTTTGGTAGCAAGGATAAATTGTCAGCGGGAACGAGATTTTTTTATTAGAATTGTATGTGAAAGGCCCACAATCTTTTATGACCAGGATTTTTTTTTTCTCCCAGTTGACCTATGGTTTTAGTTTTCCAAATATAGAAAGGACATCAAGCATTTAACCAGATTTACTTACCTTTATAGTTTCGTAAAAAATCAACCATCCTAGGTTAAAGTTTTCAACTCCACATTCATATTCCCTTTCCGCATTTCATACATTTTCTATTATTTTCAGCTACTTTGGAATCTAGAAATAAATAGGAGACGCTACTTCTCGAGCTACAATTACAGAATGCTTATAAACTAAACTGAGCATTTTCTTACATTATCCAAGCACCAGGGTAATATAATGTGTACCCTTTTTCTGTAGATATCAATACATGTATATAATTGTATACATGTATCATTTAAGCAATTCGTGTGCTATATATGAAATTCCATCTTTATATATTTTCTTTATATTTTGTTGGTTTATTTAAGTGGTGATAAAGGTGGTTTTAGCTGTAGATTTTGGATATTTAATTAACCCCTAAAGAAAATTGCTTTCATCTGTATTTTTCCTTAGTAGAAAATACCATCATTATTTCTTTTATTTATTTTCTCTTTTAGTTTTGCAAATATTTAAATGAAATGTTAACAAACATACTTGCTATATCTTTTTTCTATTACAGGTTTTTAACTGCCCAATCAGACCCGACTCTGCTTCGGTCCTAAGGGAACTTAAAGATTCATCACATGACTTGGTGGGTTACACAATATGATTCGGTTGGAACTTTTTTATATTGACATCCATTGGTTTTCAATTTGTTTATATTTTGAAAATGAAGCTTTTATTTTGGTTTGATTTATCTTTCTATTGATCTTGAAAACAAGTTCAATACATTAGTACTTGATAAGCTGCTGAGTTCAAGAAGCTTTTTAAATATTATTCCTTTTTCGTGGCTCATGTTTTCTGCTCACTTATAATACGGCAAAAGGATGAACATAATTACATATCTGTAAATTTGTGTTTTTCCACGTCTTTTTGGCTTGGGAAGCGCTTTAAGCAAGCTGACTTCTTTATCAATGGCAGTGGATGAAGTTAATTAATAAGGGATAGGCCTTGTTCTCCTTTAATTTTTTCTAGGATTTTATGTTGTCATGCAATTGCTCTTAGCAAGCCATCAAAGTTTTGCCAAGTACTTTTGTGGTTATAATAATGCTTGTTGGAAATACGTTATTGATTATCAGGTTTTATATCGTGCTGGTTTTATATCGTGCTGTATACCTTTTTTTTTTTTTGTAACTTCAGGCTATGATTACTGGAGACCAAGCTCTGACAGCTTGTCATGTAGCAAGTCAAGTTCACATTATCTCAAAACCTGCTTTGATTCTAGTACAAAATGGCGAAAGTTTTGATTGGGTTTCTCCTGATGAAACCGATTCAGTCACATTCAGGTAAGCTGTATGCATGGAAATACGCCTTTTGTTTTGTTAATTGATAGTCTCCCTCTATCATCATATTTTGGCTGATTAGATCAGTGAATTAAAATTTAGTTTTCTTACACTCTTCTTGCTTGGAGCATGTTGTTTTATAATTTTTATTTTATATTTTCAATCGAAAGTTGGATTGGAATTAAAAAAAATTAAGTTTTTGTGAGACTTTGATAAATCTTAATCATCTGAGCTGAAAGTTGCGCTCACAGTGAGAGTCAAGTGGAAGCTTTGTCAAATTCCCATGATCTCTGCATTGGTGGGGACTGCTTTGAAATGCTGCAGCGCACTGGTTCTGTGCTTCAAGTCATTCCTTATGCTAAGGTTAGGTTCTGTACTTCATCGGAGATCCAGTTTAGAGGACAATCTTGTTCTCTCTTAAAGTGCCTTCAAAATGATTTCAGGTTTTTGCTCGGGTTGCTCCAGAGCAGAAAGAGTTAATCTTAACCACTTTGAAAACAGTTGGAAGGATGACGTTGATGTGTGGAGATGGAACCAATGACGTTGGTGCTCTCAAGCAGGTAGGATTTCTTTTTATGATGATATTAAAGCTGAAAATTTGAATTTTGACAATAGACAGTATGTTAGAGCATATGCATCCAGCAGACTTGTGCCATTGAATTTCTTCTATTTTGTGTTAGAGCTTCCAATCTTTAAAATTGTGCCATTTGCTATGTAGGCATTTTCCATTCGTGAGAGGCATAAGCTTTGAGGTGGTCTGAGGCATAACCCTCACAATTTGAAAATTTCATAATAAAAATAAATGGGTAAAAAATATACTAACATCGTAATATATAAACATACGAAAGAAAAAACATACTAACCGCATAACATGGTAAAATGTGATAATTGCACCAACTATATAAGTAAGAAATAACATAAGTTTAGCATAAAAGATTTTTCACTCCTATTATTCAATATGATATCATCCATAGTTGTAAATAAGATAAAAATAATCAAAATTCTCAGTGTTCTCATCACTTAAAGGTTATTCATTCGAATCATCATCATAACGTATAGCTTTCTCATTTGTCTCTTTGTCAGTTGGGTCTAAGTTTTCTCATTTTTGTTATTCTTCTTCAACCTCAACATCTTTCTTTTCCCTGTATAATTATAAAAGATTAATAAATAAAAAAGAAAATTTATATTCAAGAAAATATCAAATACTTAAATTTTTAAAAATATATTTTCTTTTTATCTCTTGTTGTCTAGTGTTGGATTTACAAACTTTGTTTTTGGCATCATCAATGAAATCAACATTCAGATATTTTTGTTGTAACTCAGCTGGTGTGATCATATTATCCTCTTCTACAAATAACTCATCTTTTGATGGCTTATCTTCATATAAAAGAGGGTCTCCGTCATCCTTCAAACGTCTTTTTATTTTATCTTTCAATCTCTTGTTGTACATGATATACACCAAATGTTTCACTCTTAAAGTTGTTAGATGATTTTTCCTTTTTATATGAATTTGATTATATGTGCTCCAATTTTACGCTCATATCCAGATGATAAGCGTGTTAAGTCCTAGTACATTAATGGCAAAATATTAGAGATTTGGAGTACCATCATCAAATTGGATTCACCCTTCAACTATATTTGAAAGAGAGTTATGTAATTAGAAATTAAAAGAATAATATTTAGATACTCAATACTTGTTTTAATGACCATTTACTTGGAGAGCATTTCATAACAGTATCTTTTGCTTGTTAGCCAAAGAAACCTTTCTTATTCTTAAATGGAACAAGTTGCATATCAATAGTCGTTCTCATTTGGGTCAGCAATCAATCTACCTAGACATTGATATTGTCCCAACTTGATCTCAAGATTGATGTATTTCTTCTCAACATATTAAAATTTGAGGTCCAACAGCATGCAATTGCTGGTGGATCTTTAATCAATAATATATCAAAGTTTTCTATAACAGATCTCTTCTCTTTCTAGATTATGTGTTATTATATCTTTTCTCTCATCCATTGGGTTGCAAATAAAACTCTTGGCTAGCTTCTTCCTTGCATCCACCATTCTCAAGATTCGCTCTAATGACCTAGTGGTTGTTATTGCATATGTGCCCATTTAAAACATTTCATTTAAAATAATTTTTTTAAAACATTTTTCCCTCCGATTTCTTAGCCCATGCACTGCTAAGCCAATTAGTGGAAGTAAACATTGACTCCAATGGTTGTCTAGGTTTCAACATACTCTGTAGTAAAAAAAGGTTATATCAAATCTTGTTGCTGCAGGGTGTAAAAGTTCTTTTTTAAAGAATTTCATCATTAAAGACAATAATCAGTAATGATTGTAAGTGAAATTACTAATCTTTTTGGCTTTGGTTTATGTATCTTTATGTTATGGTAATTCACCAATATTCTCTAATACCAAGTCTATGCAATTTGGATCACGTGTCTGGTATAAATGTTTTCTCTTCTCTATCAATTTATCTAGCTGCCTTATAAGCACTTATATTAGGTCATAATTTGAGCTATCAAATGCTCTCGAATTTCATCTTTCACTCCAGGTAGTTCAAAAATGTAGTCTGCATCTTTCACCTAATCATAAACTTCAACAGATTTAATAAAACAAGTCATATGAATTACTAATTAGAATGTTAGATAAACTTATATTCTTTATGTCTGACCATTCATTATACATGATTGTAACTCTAGTATGACTCCAGGTCCTCTTTATCTTTTTAGATTTTTCTTTGTATTACTGAACTCCTCTTTCAATACCCATGTTCTCAAGTCATACATAGATGAGAAATTCAAGCTTGACCACAAGCAACAATAAAGCAAATCATATTAAAGTCAGGAGATGAAGTCGCGTTGAATGGAAATACATTCTCATAAAAAAAGACTTTCCATTATCCATGCAGTCACATTTGTGTTCCACTCTGACATACTCCAGAGATATCTTCTGAGCTACACTTGCCCCCTCTCCATGAGGCATCATTCACATTTATCATATACTGATCTGAGTGATATCTTGTATGTGTAATAGAGATAATAAGGAATTCTTAGCATTGCGCTCACTCATAGCAAGAACCGACATCAATTCTATCTCAAATTATTGCTATGCAAGATGCTTTGCCTTCATCAACTTTTTCATACAAGATTGAATTTCTTTTTTGACTACTTTTGGCATTTTAGTACATGATTTAACATTTTTATGTAAGCAATAGAGGCGTTCTTTCGTCCTTGTAACCCCTTTAACTATCTTGTCACATTAATTGCATTTCAAATAAAATGTCTTATTGTTGCCTCTAAAATCAACTTGCCCACTATGCCTCAACTTTTTCTTATATTGAATTTCTTTTTTGACTACTTTTGGCATTTTAGTACACGGTGTAACATTTTTATGTAAGCAATAGAGGTGTTCCTTCATTCTTGTAACACCTTTAACTTACTTGTCACATTAAATTGCATTTCAAATAACATGTCTTATTGTTGCCTCTAACATTGCCCACTATGCCTCCACATTGGATCTTTTCAGTTGCCCGATTTGGATTTCTCCTTGCATCCAATTGGAACTTAGTCCACTAGAAAGAGACATTCAAACTCATGAGAGTATTTTTAAAATTTGTTGGAATTTATTGGACCGAATCAACAAACAAAGGCATTTTTATTAGTTTGTCTTGTGACTCAAGATTTTTCTTGGGTGCATTTACATGCATACCACTCACTTACGTATTTACATGTGTAACACCCAAATTTGAGATTGTGTTTGATACCACTCAAATCATTCCTATCACATAAAAAGTACCACCCAATGTGACTCAAGATAGTAAAATGAAGTTTAGGTGTTAGATATGTAAATACATATGAATTCTATGGCATATTTGTAAATCTTAATTTTTTTGGGGCATTGACATACATTACACCCATTCTTTTATATTTAACACCCCAAACTTGAATTTTTTTCATTTATAAGACCTAACATTTCAACATAAATAGTACGGATTCAACAAACGGAGACAAAAGAGGGCAAGTTTGAACAAAACAGTAGCAGATGGATGTGACGAAAAGAGGATCAGGTGGGATCACTTTGGCAGCATCATCCAGTGCATTAGACGGTGTTGTCTGGTGTGCAGGAAGGATTTGGGGGATGCTTGCTGGAGAGGGAGCTTGTGGTTTCGAATGAAACATCAGCAGGTGCTTTGCTGCGACAGTGCCTACAGTAGGAGGATCATGCGTCGACTAGGTTATGTCAATGCAATGCTATTCATTTTAAAACCGGCTCTAAGGTCATGTAAGAAAGTAAATTGCTGTTTTAAAATCTTGTGATATTTAATCTTAAAATTTTACTAGGATATTTGAAAGATTTAAACTTTTAGGCTCTAAAGAGCCTAAATTGCATTTCGTGATTAATCCCAGAAAAACCACACATAAAAAAGGTGTAACTGGCAATTTCAAGCACACAACATTAAAAGTTAAAGCACGTCAAGCAAAATAAGGAAACAGGCAGGTGTTGTTGAGTTGACAATGCATCCCAGGAAAGCAGAAAAGACGGTCAGACATCGTATAAACACATCTAGTACGAGACACGAGCCTGTTGCTCCTGGTCTATCACGTGGTTCGATACGTTATGTGCCTTGGAACCCGTGCCTGTACCTTATTGTCGATACAGATTGAATCTTAAGGACTCTATCAAATATATAATAAAAGAAAAATGACTCGACCTGTAGAATAGTTAGCATTGGTTATCTCACGCAACACCTTTGAGCCATACCTGGAGAGAGGAGCTTAGCAGTGCCTACCTGACAGTTGGCGACACGTTTCTTTTGTATGATGAAGCTCTCATTCGTAGGAGAGATGACTCTCTTTCCTCCTTTTCCAATGCAAGAGGAAGCTCGTCTCTTTCTTGAATGTAGCTCCAAAGGAACACACTCATCTCCTCTCTTTGATGTGATGTAGAGAAGAGAAGATTTGTTGGAGAAAATGAAATGGAAAGGGATAAAGAGAAGAGGAAAGGTTTTCTTACCAAGCATTCTCCCAGAGCTACCTTGCTCTCCAAAAGCTCCCTCTCAGCATTGAAAAGAACTCACCCCCAAATGAAATTCAGATGCCTAGCTAAAGCCCAGCCAATGGTTAGGAAATTGGAGGGAAACTTCCCTCTTATTATTAAAATACTGGAGCTTTTCTACATGGCATTCACCCATTAGCTTCTTTGGATGTTGCCAACAAAGGGAGAGTCCCCATTGGACCGCTAGATCCAATGATTGCCAATGGGAAAGCAGCCAAGAAGTATGGAGGAAAAAAATCAACTTTTTCAGCTAGAAGTGCTGTTGGCTCGGCATAGTCGCACATGAACTTGGCTTGGCCATGCCAGGCCAAAGGGCTTGAAGCCCTAATTTTCTGAAGGGCGGCGTGACCACACTCAAAGCTGTCATGGTCACGCCAGCGCCTTGGCATGGCTTCGCCATTTTTGCGGTGTAATCATGCCATGATCTGTTTCAGCATGGTTTTGTGTATGGGTGAAAAGGGTGTGGTTACGCCACTTCAACTCTAGGGTTTTATGCCTTAGATGCGCGGTGGAGGTCCTGAACGAGTTTCTTTGGCCACGAAAAGTCCTAAATAGATTAGAAATGATCCCTAACCATTAGAAATAGTCCATGGATGCGCCAAAGCATCAAAACGGATGGTGACCATCTGGCTCAATGTGAACTGGTTAGGAACCCTAATTTCATCCGATGAGGGTTCCTATCTACTTGATCGTACAACCCTCAGATGGATTAAGTTTGATCCTATCATGTTCAAAAGGACTTTTAGTCCGTCTTTTGCCAATGATGAATGTCGCACAGGACAGTTGTTTCCCCGACGATGGTCGGGCCTCTTAGGCGAAGAAAGATTGTCATAACTCCTGGTTTTGTACTTTGAGCACCTATCAGGTGGCCTAGATGGAAGCCTAGAGCTTCGGGACATTGAGAACAAACAATGAGAAGTCCCGAGCCATTCAAATGGATGCCCAACACGTGTGACATCAAAAAATTGATGCCAACACATACATGCGTAGATGACTATTGGAAGGGCTGGTCCATAATAGCCTCGACCTTCACTAGGTTCATCTCATATCGACAATTGAAACAATAGATCTAAGAAAACATGTATGCGGCTTTGGAAAGTGACTTTTGTTGGGTGACCATATAACTACTGTTTGCATAACTCAATCTTTTCAGGCATTGCAAATGTTCCTCTGAATGGTTGTACAATAGGATGCCATCAAAACACACTACCATGGATTATTTTGATGAAAGGTTCAAAGTCTGGTTTGTTAGCCTCATGAAAGTGCTCAGTTTATTGGACATGCAAACTGGCACGATTGTTCGCACTAACAATCTATCTTGCGTCTTGAAAGCGATCTTTCACTTATATCTTAGTTTCATCCTGATGTAGTGATAATCACTACACAAATTGATCTTGGAGAATACATTGACTCGTTATAACTGATATAGCAAATCATCCTCTTGGAATAATAAATTAGTATTTGATAGTGATTTTATTCACAACCTACTTTTATTATATCTACGTTAGAGTTATCCTTCGACACAATCACAGCGGGAATTGCACACAGCTTAGTACTCTCAAGAACCAAGCCTTTAACCATCAAGTCAATGACATGCTTCCGTGACTCATATTTGTTGGGCTACTTCCTTAGGTAGGTTGATTTGGGAAAATTGATTCTATGATGAAAGCTATGCCATGTTGATCTCTTTTAGTGGCGGCTACCTAGAAGATAGATTGTCTGTCTGGACATTCTAAAATTATTTCAACAAAGGTTGGATTATATTTGATAGGCTCATCAGACTCACTGCCTTTTAAAACCACCAATGCTAGCCCTATTATTATTTGTTTTAAGGAACATGAAATGGTAGCTCATGGTACTATTATTTGAGATTCTGTAAGAACACCCATAATCTTAGACTCCTAAGGTAAGTGTGCAATGTGCTTATCATCCCCTAGTGAAAGATTTTGTTTTCTTGCATTAGTTATGGCAAGCATCGGTCGTACTGCCGAAGATGACTCAAATGAATATGAAGCATTCAAAGGTATAACGTCACGTCATATATGATGAAACTCATCTCTGATAGAGAACTTAACTAGACAGCTTCTGTAAATTGTGGTCTCGTTCACTTTCTTTAATCATTATAAGTAATAAGTTTTGGTGTGCCTTTATGTGGCATGGCTCAAATTGTCTATTGTTATGGTAGACACCACATTCTCACAAATGCCTTCATCAATGGTAAGACTACCATAATTTTCCTTCACCATGCAACTAGTATGAAAAATATTATGGTGGAGCCATTGATGCTCTCTTGTGAGCTCAATCTAAAAAATACATCGAACCATTAATTCTTTTCTCATCAGTTGGAAGTTGTTACTTCTCATTTATATTCTCATTTTCTATGATGTCTCTTGTGTTATTATTAATTTTTTTCATTACTACCTGCTTAGTGAACGAGATTACTCTCTTGTTAGGGCAAATAGATATTGTGTGCCAAAAATCATGGCATTTAAAATACTTTTTGGTTGGAAAGGACTTAGGAGTATGGAACCCCCAACCCCCACACACACCTCTTTAGCCTGAGTTGATTTCTCCTCATGTGGGATAGGTCTGGGTTCTCTAACAGGTAAAACCTCAATGCTTGATTGCATGGCTGTATCTATAAGGGGCACTGACTCCCGAGGTTGATGTTGTGTCTCCATCTTCAAGGATAGGATTTTGCAACTGCACAACAATGTTGATAGATTGCTTTAGCCCTCTAAGATACATCACCTCAGTGTACTCTATTAGTTCCACTAACTCATATTTCAGTATGAGTTAGCCAGCTTTGACTGTATACTTCTCCAAAAAGAATCTCTTTGGTGCAGGTAAAGGAGTTTAAAAACATATTTTGTCGACAAAATGCGGTAAGGTGTTTGAGCTGCGTCTTCTTTCTCAAACCTAGGTCATGTGATGATATTACTTCAAATTCTCTCAGTACAATGAAACATTCCCCATGAGCTTAATGGTTGCCAATTTGAATATCTTATTTTGTGTACATCATTATATTAAAAAAAAATTTCCATTATTTTGAGCCATTAAATGAACTCATTCGAATCCAGACGTCTGTTAAAATCTAGCAAGTTAATTTTACCCCAAAATTGTAGCTTCTCTAATATTTAATGTCAAATTATCGAGACATTAGTTTTTCATCACAGGAAATTTTATTGTGGAATGGGTTAACTTCCTCTTAGTCTGTCAAGTTATCATTATAGTTATAAGCACTCTCTCTAGGTTATCCTCTCAAATGCAACAACTATTTATTATAATTGAAAGATTTTCTGTAGCATATCTTTCATTGTAAGCTTTTGAACACTCTCTATATGTTTCTCCTCGGCAACATAGTGTTTCTTCTCCCAATTAGGATTTCAGCCTAGAGAAAGAGTGCAGTTTAGTGTTAGGGTTAGGGATTGAGGATAGGGTTAGTATTAGGGAATTTGATTTAGCAGATGAATTAGGTTATATGTATTTTAGGTTTAGAAATAAGGAGAATAATTTCTTTAAGATTTTGGGTTTTTGATGTCTTTGGTACCAATTGATATTGATATAGGGTTGCTAGATAGTGTGGGGCGATCAAGAGAGGTTAAGTTTTAGGATCAGAAAGCAGGGAAAAAAGATGATGGTTGAGAAATCAGTGCTCTGGACAGCTGGATGGTAAATTGAAACAGGAAAACTCATCACCTAAATTCATTCAGGTTTAATTCACATCATTTGAGAAAGATCAACAATTCAACCCTCCAACAAAGATAGAATTAGAAAAAAAAAAGTCTATTGAATAATCAAAACCCAAAGTATTAAATCAAGTACGAAGGAACATACTTCTACTAAGACAAATTAAACCCTAATCATAGAACAAAATGAGGTAAACAAGCCCCGCGGTGGCGGTGGTTCAGTGGCGGGTGAGAATTTTATCGCATAGGTTTGCAAGGAACAAAAATACAAAAAAAATCCCATCCATCTACGTCACGCCCTCGTCCCACCTGACGAGACTCCCCTGCATCATAAGTTTTGTTCATCTAGATTGCTGTTGTTAAGGCTGGTCTCGTAATTGGTTGAAGACTTGGACCTGTGTTAAGATTCCTATCAAAAAAAAGTTTCAGCTTTAAGTGTTTTGCATGATTGGGGTTAGTTTGGAAGACCAACTGCTGCTGTATCCTTTCTATCTTGATTGTCTGCCTCGCTTTACCCTTCTAAAGTAAAAATGGCCGCTACAACAACACTTAGAACAAGAACGATAAAGAAATCCACTGATTTGGGATGAAATCAGTTAAAAGAGAGCACTTCCGTGAGTGTCCATTGGGAAATAAGACTGATCATGAGTTCTTTTTGCATGTTTGATCTGAAAATTATGAGGCTTCCTCTTAGTGGCTGCTTGGATAGTTATTTGCTTGAAATTTCTCGAAAATCTACTGATTTAGTTAATTTGTTTTTAATATTTTTCCAACACTGCATCATAATAAACTATTTATACTGAATCTTCAGGCCCATGTTGGTATAGCTCTACTAAATGCCATGCCACCACCAAAAACTGGAGAGGCAACCTCACAAGCATCGTCTTTGGACAGCAGAACTGCAAAGCAGAAGAAGCCAAGGTCCTCTGCAGAGTCTTCAAACCACTCTCTGCACCCCAACCGCCATCTCGCGGCAGCGGAGAAGAAGCTGAAGAATGCGTTGGATGAGATGAATGCGGAGGGCGACGGTCGCAGCGCCCCCGTCGTCAAGCTCGGTGATGCCTCCATGGCTTCACCTTTCACCGCAAAACACACATCAGTTTCCCCAACCCTCGACATCATTCGCCAAGGAAGAAGCACGCTGGTAACCACGCTCCAAATGTTCAAAATCCTCGGCCTCAATTGCCTTGCGACAGCGTACGTGTTGAGCGTAATGTACCTCGACGGCGTCAAACTCGGCGACATGCAAGCCACAATCAGCGGCATCTTCACCGCCGCCTTCTTCCTCTTCATATCTCACGCCCGACCTCTGCAAACCCTGTCGCCTGCCCGTCCCCACCCCAACATCTTTTGCGCCTACGTTTTCCTTTCTCTCCTCGGCCAGTTCGCCATGCACCTCATTTTCCTCGTCTCCGCCGTCAACGAAGCCGCAAAACACATGCCCGAAGAATGCATTGAACCCGATTCCGAATTCCACCCAAATCTTGTCAATACCGTATCATATATGGTGAACATGATGATTCAGGTGGCAACCTTTGCTGTTAACTATATAGGCCGTCCTTTCAACCAAAGCATCTCAGAGAACAAACCCTTCCGCTACGCCTTGTTCGCTGCTTTGGGTTTCTTCGTCGTCATCACCTCGGATTCATTCAGGGATCTGAATGACTGGCTGAAGCTTGTGCCACTTCCGGCGGGGATGGGAGCCAAGCTGCTGTTTTGGGCTGCCCTAATGTTTTTGGGATGTTATGGATGGGAGAGACTCTTGCGGTGGGCTTTTCCTGGTAAGATGCCGGAATGGCGGCGGCGGCAAAAGCAGGCATTGGTTGCCGCTAGAGAAAAGAAGAATGCTTAGCATCTGTCACAATGGTTTTGATTTCAGTACTTGGAGATGAGTCAATCATTTATACAAGTATGACAGATCATCAATTTTGATTTTTTGGGTTCACAACCAGTGATTTTACTGAAAAGGAGAATTCTTTATTTCCGAAGATTATTGAAATTTTTTTTTTGGTTACCATATTGAACTTCGTTATTTTTTTTGTTTCCTTTATCAAATTGGAATATGCAAACAGATTATTGCAGCTTTAACAAAGATGAATCTTCGTTGCATGTATTGTACACTTAGGGTGGATGACAATAAAGCATATTTGTTGATGGTAGTTTGCCGATGCATTTCTTGGGTCTATTTCATTAGGTTTTTTTTGGCTATTTTACTTTTTTTGACGTTATCGCATGCTCTATTGGCTTTCGCTTTCTTATTACGTTTAGAAATTTGAGGTGAGAAATTAAATTTAAGTTGCTACTTTGCCGAAATCAGTACTCTTTTTCTGATGTCTGAATCTTCTTGATGTTTGGTGAATAATGTCCAAAGGTCTCTTCTGGTCTTCAGAAACTGAGTATTTTTACTGACTAGTGTGCGCTTGAACATTGCATTTATATGTTGCCACAAACTCCCAACTAGTCAGATGAGCTAATCCATCACACGTATGTCAGTTCTTATTATTATGCTGAACCTGCATAAGGTAATGACTAACGCTAGTTTTTTTTTTATTAGTTTTGTTTACATTTATAGCACTAAACACTAAAAAATTTAACTTCACATTAATATTTTTATTATTGAAATAGACATTATCACGTATGGTTTGTTACCGAAACGTCATAAAAGTGTAAATATCAAATTTTGGGTGTTGGATATGTAAAATAATAAAACTAATGAGGTGTCGAGAACTTTGTTTTTTTTTTTTTTTTTCTTTTGTACATTTGTTCTGTCTAATCTTTCCTATCAAATCGAAAATAAAAATTTAAGTTTAGGTGTTAGATATGTAAATACATAAGAATTGAGTTCGATGTATGTAAATCTTTTGAAAAAAATGGCCCTCAGGTTTATACTAACAGTAAATGAGTATGAAACCAGGTAGACTAGTCCACAGGGATTTCTCTGTAACATTTAACAAGTGATATTGGTTTGAGTTATTATATTGGAAGACATTTATTTCCTACTTTTTATCATCTAGATTTCACTTTCGAGTGACGTTAGGTGAGACTTGAAACTGGGAGGGATGGCCTCCTCTAAAAATCAAGTTCAAATTAGTCATTCACTGATGTATCTCAAAATGATTTCAAAATCAGGAGCAATGAAATTTCATGAATTAGGACAATAATTACATATATAGCATCCGAAATATTGCTATTTACAAATCATGAATGGTATTATATCCCCTTCACATTTTCTCACAAAGTATCAAAATGCATAATAAAATCTCAACCCATATTTATTATTTTTATCAAATCATCAGTAGTTTGATCTTAAACGGTTCAAGAGTTCAAACCAATCATCTGGGTGTTAGATTTGTAAATACAATATTTTGGGTGCTGTGTATGGCAACTATATCAAGAAATAAATAGTGAATTTGGGTTGAAAGCTTATATAATTCAATCAATATGGTACAAACTCAAGTGATGGTGCCAAAACGTAATAAAATAAAAAAGATTTACGTAAATATGACATAATATTATTATTATGTACTTACATATCTAATACTTATATTTTAATTTTTATCTATATCACTCTATTAATATGGTATTTCACTTTTTAAAAGTTGACAATAGTGATATTTTCAAAGTGATAGGAATGATTTGCTTTATAAATATAAAAATCAAACATTGGTTGCTATATTTGTAAATATATTGGAATTTTGTGGTATGTATATAAATGCCTCAATAAAATAACAGACAGCATGGCTTCTTTGCAAGATATGATAATTGAAATGCCATGACATATTGTATATTTTTTTCCCTTGCTGGGAAAGAAATTTAAAAAGAAGGCCCAATATGAAAGGCATCTAACACACTCCATTATAAAATAAAAATGAAGCAGCAATTTTTCCTCCTATAATTTTTTTTTTGTTTAGGTAAGTCAATCAGCATTTTCTTTAAGCAAGAAACTAAGTTTTCTCTCATCTATAAATTGATTCACCCAAGTACAATAAAGCTCCATTTTTTTGAAGTAAACTTATTTGAGTACGTTCATTAAGAGCTCAATAATATAAATAATACTAATAATAATTATTATCTATATGGAATTTTCACGATGCGGGAGCGCTCTGGCATCGGTGTCGGAGTTTTAGGGTTCTACCGTACCGATGGCGTTTGATTCTTCCTTCGGCTTCAGCGTTGACTTAGTCTTTTTGGTCGACCTCTTCAGCTATCTTATTGTCAACTTCTTCACTTTTGTCCGTGGATTCGTGTGTTTCTCTCATCACTGCCGTAAAGCCCTATCTGCGTGTGGACTCAGCTTCGACTCCTCTCTTTCTGCTCAACTGCTCAGGACTGAGCATTGCAGTCGCTTCATCCTTGCATCTAAGTGAGCTCGTCCTCCCTGCACGTACGTGAGCTACGATCGCAGTCCAAACTCAATCCCTGTATCTTGCTGCTGTTCAACTCCGTGTTCATTGGCTTTTGTTCCTTCTCAACCACTGACTACTTCAGTTTTAAACCTTGGGAAGAATTCGTTTGATGATATGCTTGGCTCTGTGAGATCAGATCAGGTTTTCCCTCAAATTTATCATGAATCATTCGAAGGCAAGGGGGACTGCAACCTCATCAAGAAGACGAGTAGGAAGAGTGGCAAACTAGCTCTATTCTTTTCTGATGTTCAAGTTTCCAACCTGGTTGATAAGAGAAAATGCACCCTCGTTGAAAAGTTCCAATCGGGACATCCTAAAATGAAAATCATTTGAAAGGCTTTTGAAGATTGAAGATCTCAAACTATTGGCAAACTATTGGGACTTTGGAAGATTGGCCTCTTTGATGGGAGACATGTGATGATACAATTATCTAAAGTGGAGGACTATGCCAAAATATTTTCCAAAAAGTTTATGACTGTAGATGGAAAATATATGAAACTGCTCGAGTGGTCTTCTGAATTTGACCCTAGCCAAGAACCACCTATAGTTACAATCTGGTTTAAACTACCTAGCCTAACGTTGCACTACTTCAATCACCAAGTCCTCTATTCTATTGGAGTTGCACTAAGGAGACCTATGAAGTTGGATATACCCACCTTCAATCCATCCAGGCCATCGCTTGCAAGAATACTTGTTGAAAGGGATATCACCTTCTCTGATGTGGATGAAATATGACTTGGTACTACCCACAATGGGTATTAGCATCCAATCCAACTACTACAATCACTATAAATTATTTAGGCACACCTCTGCAAAATGCTTCAGCTTCACCCACATTTGAGATCGGTAGGTCCTAACAACATCATACATGTGAAGGAAATATAGCAGAAGCCATTAATCTTCCAGAAATGTTGAATGAGAATTTGACTCATCAGACTACTCGTCACCAACCAGATCAACAACTTTCTCCCACTATTGTTGAGGCAGTTCTTCCTCATATCATAAATACTACAAATTTTCTCGTAGAAAATGCTAGCCGAAGTGTCTTGGAACCACGTATTGCGAGAGATTAGGGTAAAATCCTGGAGGAGTGCCAGGATCAAGGTGTGCTACATGCTAACTCAGATCAGCAGTTTACAGATCAACATAACTCCCGGGGAGAGCTCTCCATCGAAGATCCACCTATTAATCAGAGGAGATTACCTCTGACAGATTATTGACAGGTTTACAAATCTAGGAAGAAGAAAAAAGGAATGTTAGAGCTCAATAATTCTTTGAACGAATGTCTCATAACTTTGGGCAGAATCCCACATCTTAGTATGTTGCTGGAATCTCTCTCTATATTCAGGGGAAGGGGAAGTGGTAAATCCACCGATTACACCCACCAAGATTATGAGTGTTTTTTCATTTTTTATAATTTTGGGAATTACGTGTGGTTTATGCCTCTTTTTGAATAAGTTGTAATCCCTATGAGTGGGCTCTTTGTACCCACTCACTGGCTCTTTGTACCAACTCACTAAAACCTTTATATCCTCGCTTTTATATCGATGGATTTGCCTTTTAATCACTTGGGGGATTGTAAGAGAAAGGAAAATTAGTACAAATATTTCATTTGATCTACTAATTCCAGATGTGTTGAATCCAAAATTTTCTTGCAAGTCATTGATACACAAAAAATATATGCATTTTTAGACCCATATTTTATACCTATTTTTGATGATATTGCACTTTAATGGACGATATTTTGATGTTTTCTTGTAGGTTGTTGATTTTTAGGGCTTAAAGCAAAAATAAAGAAAAAAGGATGAAATTTGGAGTCAAAATGACGTTTTTGAAGAAATGCTAAGTGTTGGCAGCGCCGACGACGCAAAAAAAATTAACATGAAGATTTTTTACTCAGTGCCAACGACGCCAAACCAGTGCCGACCGCACCAAAGGCTGTGCATACCCCGTTGCTAGAAGGTTCGATGTATTTGGACAAATTTTTGAAGAATTTTTGGAGGCACCTCTTGGAGAACCGACCTTGAGCTCTATTTGAAGCCAAATTTCATCAGAAAATGGGCTCCTCTATGTTTTTCTCTCCTCTACTTTCATTTTTTGCACCACATCATTCCATTTCACTTCCATATTGGAGTCAATTTGTGATTTTGTTTTCATATTTTAGAGTTTTTGTGGTAAGATTTAGTATGAAACTTTCTATAAGAGTGTTGGAGAAGGAGAAAAGTGAGAGATATCTTCTTCCTGCATTTCTAAGGAAAGGCTACAAAGAATTTACTTTGAGAAAGAGTTTTCAAATAAGTATTGTTTGTTTATCAGTGTTGTATGAACTTTTTTTTTATGTATGAAATTTGTGTTTTGTTATTTCTTTCTCATGAAGTCTGAGTAGTTCTCTCTATCTTTCTCCCTACTCTGAGATATGGTGAAATGAAGAGATAATATGAA